GCAAGCGTTGCCCTTTTAACTCCTTCCACATTTGCATGCCCTTGTCCATATTTTCCACAGCATTGTTATAAAGGTTCAAGACTTCATCAGAAGGCCATGTTTCCCAATCAACATTGTTACCAATTGCATAATACCAATAAAAGTTTACCTGTTCAAGCTGTTACTATCCAAGAGCTAGAAGAATTTCATAGAAATCTAGTTTGATTCTCAGTGCTACTTCACATCTCTTACTTGCTTTACTATATTCTATTGCCCAATCATAGGTTGTTTTGATCTGCTCAAGTATGGATTCCTTCAAACTGTCTTCTGAAATACATCCTATTCCTTGCCTTGGGCATGTGAACATTTCCTCAAATATATTTCACAAGCTTGACTTCACTAGTGCAAGAAAGCAACAATATAATTTTTGACCTCCTATATCCTTAGAAATTCATAATAATAAAAGCTCTTGGATGCTGAAAGTACTACTTCCTATTATCAATGGAAATGGAAAGTACATACTCTTTTTCTCTTTAAACCTTAAGATTGAAATAATCGTTTCTTGGACAAAACATTGAAACTTTATTAGGTGGAAGATAAAAAGTTAATGAGCTAGTAATCAAAAGAGCTTCTGTCCTAATTTATGCCCAAATTTAAATATGTTGGGATTTACTTTGAATCTCAGAATCTCAGATCAAAAGTTATAAGAGTTTTAAGTTTATCTTGTATCCCATATCAGAAGTTTAGTAAAGGTATAAGGGGTTTCACCTTTATAAATAAGATGTTTTGGTTTTCGTTTGGTAATCCCAGATAGTTAGACATCAAGAGAATAGCTAGGTGAGTAGGCTATTAAAATGGTGTAATTGAATTTTGGGTTAAGTTTTAAGTAAGGAGTTTTTAGTGACTTTTCTTATTCCAAAAGTCTCTAAGTTGTAAAGATTTATTTGATAGTGGATTAAGTTTGGAGTAGGCCATTTTGAGTTGGGCCGAAACAAATATATTTGTGCATTCTTATTTTTTATTTAAGCTTGCTATTTTGTGTGTGGGTGCTACGTGTGTACATGTTGATTTTTCAACAAGTGATATCAGAGCGAGGTTCAAAGTTTAAGGTTCGTGGGATCAAGAGATCGTGAAGCAGTGTTTCAAGATGTCTGAAGAAAGGTATGTTTAGTATGCCTATGCTTAAGTTTAAGATTTTGTTATTTGATGAAAAAAGTAATTTTATGTTATGGTAAAGTACGATTCAAGATCTGTCAGTACAATAAGGGTTGGATTAGGCATTAGAGAGTAGTAGCCCTGAGGAAAGGTTTGACGGTAATTGGAATAGAATTCAGAAAAAGGCTATTAATACTATTAGATTGGCGTTAGGCCTAGAGGTAAAGTATAGTGTATTGACTGAGAGTATTTCGAAGAGTTTGTGAGATAAATTTGAAGATATTTATGCGTCGAAGTCGTTAACTAACAGATTATGTTTAAATATGAATTTGTATTATTTGAAGATGAAAGAAGGTACGAGTCTTTATAATCACCTGAATGTGTTTAATAGATTAATTTTTCAATTGCTAGCGATTTCTATTGATGAGTTAAAAGACGAAGAGAATGCTCTAATTTTGTTGTCATCTTTGTTCAAGTCTTATAGGCTTTTAGTTCAGACTTTATTAGTGGTAGGTCTACTTTAAAGTTAGATGATGTGACTGCCTTGTTGCGTGAGAATGAAAGATTTATGGGAGCACGGAACTTATCACCTAAGGGGAATACACTAGCTGTAGAGGGTTTTGATCAAGAGAAGACTTAAAAGAGGATTGATGGATCAAGATAGAAATCCAAGTCAAAAGACAGAGATTATAGTGACATAGAATGTTATTATTGTGGTGAAAAAAGATATATCCAAGTGCATTGCAATAAGCTGAGAAAGGATATGGCTACTTTCAAAAGGGTAAATGATGAAAAAAAATCAGATGAAGAAAAGAGTGATACTGCTACTGTTGTGTTTGATGATGATGATGTCATTTTGATGACTTGTGTAGATGAGACTCAGACTTTGAAAAGTGATAAAAGTTAAGTTTTAGATTCAACTGCTATAGTTAATGTCTACAATGATAGGAGTTACTTTGTAGAATTGGATGAGAATGTGAAGTATGAGGATATTGTGGTTGCCAACAGTGAAAAGGTACAGATTCAAGGCATTAAGAGTGTTCACCTTAGATTTCACAATGGTGTTATTAGGACACTTCATCATGTAAGGTATATACCAAGTTGTAGCTACAATTTGATTGCTTTGGGTGAGTTAGCTTCTTGGGGATACACATATTATGGTAGTAATGATTGGTTGAAAGTGTACAAGAGTGGTAGTGTGATTATACAAGGGAATAAGGTCAAAAATCACTTGTACATGCTTGATGGAGCCTCAGTTGCTGGGATTCCTATGATGAAAGAAAAGAAGAAAGGTAAGCATGTCAACTTTGCATATACTATAGAAGTGTTTGGAGATTCAAGTCAATGGAAGATTTGTTGAGATTTGCCTTGAATCTCAGAATCCCACATCGAAAGTTATAAGAGTTTTGAGTTTATCTTGTATCTCATATCGAGAGTTTAGCAAAGGTATAAGGGGTTTCACCCTTATAAATAAGATGTTTTGTTGTTTTGGTTTAGTAATCTCAGATAGTTAGACACTAAGAGAATAGCTAGGTGTGTAGGCTATTAAAATGGTGTAATTAGATTTTGGGTTAAGTTTTGAGTAATGAATTTTTGGTAACTTTTCTTATTCTAAAAGCCTCTAAGTTATAAAGATTTATTTGATAGTGAATTAGGTTTGGAGTAAAATATTTTGAGTTGGATCAAAACAAATATATTTGTGTGTTCTTATTCCTTATTTAAGCTTGCTATTTTGTGTGTAGGTGCTACGTGTGTGCGTATTGATTTTTCAATAAAATCCAAACTTGAAAAAAATTAAGGGATGGTAAATAGAGGTGATGTTATAATGTTGTAATTTTTATAGACTTGGAGTTCTTTTTTTTTTTTTTTCTTTCAGAATAGATTGTTGTTTTTGTTTATCCTAAAGAAATATAAAAAAGTAACTTTTAGTTGTTCGAGTAAAAAATTTCACTCGAAAAAGTTTCTAAAAACACAACAAAAAATAATAAATATAGCAAATCTCTATATGAGAAAGATTATAAAAAATTAAAAATAAAAAAATTTTTACTTGAAACAATAGCACCAAATCAAATGTCACAAATTAAAAATTTTAATGTAATTTTGACAGTGAAAATAGCTAAATCGAAGTATGGTTTGAAAGACAATAACTAAAAAGCAAATCCAAAACCTCACTGAAAGTGATAATAAGAAATTTTAAGATATGATACATCTCATAACTCAAATGCAAATCCAAATTGACTAAAATGAAACTCAAATTGCAAAGAAATTTGACAATCATGGAGAGCTCAAAACTAACAACTAACCATCAACGTTGGTACTACCATCGTGATAGTAGCCGATGAATATTCGCTTTTCTCGATGTTCACGTTTTCTTTGATGATCAGAGCTTCGTCGTTCCCATAATCTCTGAGATCCACAATAGGTGACATGCACATTTTTTTCGAACTCTTTGTCGTTAACACTAGTTTCTCTGTATTTTTCACCTGAAATAAAACTTACTAAAAAGTTAATTCTCAAAACTAAAAAGTTTTTAAAAAAATCAGCTTCAGATGCGTTTTATACTGATACTTTGTCATTTTGGAGACGGAGGCTTACCCTTAGAAGAAAACGATCTCTTATTATCAAGAAAAGATCCACTTCGTCTTGTTGAAACCATAACTCTCTGATTTTCTTTTTGTGCTAATTTTCTCATTGAAACCAGAGAAGGGAAAAGTCATGAAAAACCAACACAAAAACTGACATACGTGGCAGCTTCAAAATCCTTTGGGATTCTTTTTATATGTTGTATATAGATTAGATTTGTTGGTAATTAATGAAATTGAAAGTAGTTTATTGTCAATATATCTAAACGAATTTCAAAATTCATGACAATTTCATATATACAAAGTTAAAAAGAAAAAGGAAAGAATTAAGGTAAAGAAAAATGATGTTTTTCAAATTACAAAGACAAAGCTAACATTGCTTGACATGAAATTCAAGCTTATGCTTATGCTAAAATGACAAATAAGATAATATAATAGGTCATTTTTAATATTTAAGATGATAAATAAGATAAGATGATAATTATTTTATATAATATTTGATTTATATATAAAGAAATGGATATAATTGCAATGAGGATTATCATTTTCTTGGCATAATATGATTTAATCATTTTAAAGTGAAGAAAAATATTTTTAATTTATGAGATTAAATTTATATATCTTATTATATCTTTAAAAATCATATCAACAATTTAAATTGTATAAACTTTAAAAAAAATAATTTTGATCAATAAATAAAATTATACTGTCCCAATTTTTACATATATCAATTATAAGATATGATGATATTATTTAATTTAATTCTATTTATAATATCAGTTTATCATATCTTATCATAATCTTACACACTAAACATATTTTTGGATGTGTACAAAATTATGATAGGATAGAATCATATAAACTTATAAATAGTATTAAATTAGATGATATCATTCTAGACAATTTTTTTATTATTCTAGTAAAAAACATATTTTTTAAATTTATATTGAAAAAATATGTTGATAATATGTGTGGTGAATATATAATTTAATAATATTTTTAAATGTCATATATATATATATATAAGCTAATATAATTAATGATATTATGGTTAATGATACTAAAATTTAGGTTAACATAACTTACAGTTTGAAAATTTATGATGTAAGATGGAAATTGTTTATTTTATTTTTTCATGCTAATTTATACAATTTTTTTTTTCAAAATAAAGATGAAAAATTAATTAACTATTATTTATTCAAAATATAAACATAAAGAAAATTCTTGAAAACATGCAACGTACCAATGGATAAACCAAAGAATACAGAGTACAGATAGTATGAAATTGTAAGACTTTTGTTTTTTACTGGAAAGGTAAGAAGGGAAGCCAAAGTTCAAACCAAAGCCGGTTCAGGGCGGCCTTAGGATTAGGATCAGACAACGGGGCAATGTTGGATAAGGTGCAGATGGGACCCATTTCTCCCACTGAAATTCTGGTCTAAGACTCTGAGTCTCTTGCCCCCAGCTTCACACATCACCGCACAAGAAACCGCACCAAACCCAAACAACACACACAAAAAAAAAGGAAAGGTCCTAACTTTCTCCCCTCCTGCACCTGCAGGCTGCAACCGCCTCTGTCTCTCTGTCCAAGGAGCTTGGATTTCATCGGAACCAAAATCCGGGTTGACCCCACGATCCGAAAAGGCGATCCATGTTGACTAGGAATTTCTTGCTTGTGCTTTGATCTTTTTAAGGTTTGATAAATTGTCTCAATTTATATTATTTGGTAGTTTTATGGGTCCTGGTTAGTTAGGATAAGGGGAGGAATCTGCGGGAGTTTGTTTGAATATATTTTGATCTTTTTTACGGCTGCCTTTTGTTCAGTTACTAGATTTATTGGGTGAAGAGTAAATTTTTGTAGTATAGATTAAATTCTAAGATTTTGATAATTAGTGTTTTGCCTATATGCTATTTGTAGGTGTTAGTGATGGCGGTAATCTACATTGTTTTGGAGGGGAATTGGTGATGAACTGATGATGTGGTGCTGACTCACTTCAATTTTTGAAATTTTTTTCGACTTATTATACTTTCTGGTTCTGGATCATGTTCTTTAGTGCTTATTAACTAATTTGTGTATGAAGTTTGAGAGTTTTTGGAATGTGGGTTGATTAGACTCTTGGAGGATTTAACTGTACAATGCAAAACATTAGTGCTTTTTAGGTTATACTTTTGTGTATGAGAGCTGCGATTTTGGGGATTTTATGGTGTTTGGTGTTGAGAATTATAGGAAAATTGGATGCTTTTTAGGTACATTGTTGAGTTATTTGAAGCTTTATAGGTGAAGTGCATTATTAAGCTGTCATTGGATTTTAGAGGATTACGTGTAAGGAGGCATCAATGTCGTTTAAGACCATTTTCCAGGACATGAAGGGGGAGTTGGGGAGTATATCCAGAAGAGGGTTTGATGTGAAGTTTGGATTTGGAATGAAATCGAGGTCAAACAGGGTAGTTCAGGATAGCTCGGTTCCAGTTGATACATTCAAGCAGAGTTGTTGGGCAAACACGCCGCCTGAGCTTTTGAGGGATATATTGATGAGAATAGAGGCATCAGAGAGTGCTTGGCCTCCACGAAAGAATGTGGTTGCTTGTGCTGGTGTATGTAGGAATTGGAGAGAGATTATGAAGGAAATTGTGAAAACCCCAGATATTTCTGGCAAGTTGACATTCCCAATCTCATTGAAGCAGGTAATAGATGTTAGCATGTTCCTTTTAAGGACATGTAATTTACGATTGCTTTCATTTGGTTATGCATGGCTTTGAATCTTTAGTTCTTGTTCTTTTCTTCTTCTTTCTTCAAGTTTCATTGAAGTAAGAATATTTTAGTAACATTTTAAAAAATAGTAGCAATCCCTTGTTCTTGTTGTACTCTCTTGATAAGTGCGGTGCACCAGTCCTTTCGTAAGTAATGGTTGAATGGTGCTGATAAATGAGAAAAATGATGGCAGTATCATCCCTTCTGCTGGTTTGTTGGAGCTAAGATCTTTATTGCATTTTAGGACTGCTTGTGATACTCTTTTGGAAGGTTAGGAGTCTGAAGTTAGAAATAGGTAGGGTACTGTATCAGTATCCTGCTGCATCACATAAAGTTTTCTTCTTAACTTATCGCATCATAGATTTTGAATTCTAACAATTGACTGAAAACATGAAATTCTCCTTCATAACTATTTTTCTCCTGAGATGAATTGAGAACTTGAGAGTTCTTTGGCAGTAGAATTGCTTGAAAGGTATCTGTCTAAATTAATATAGAATAGACTATAAGCTCTCTGCTTGTGTTCAGAACAGTTTTTGTATTCATCAATTATCTGTGAATAAGTAACTGAAAAGTTAGGGCACATTTCCACAGTCTTTGGTTTTTTGTTTTTGCAGCCTGGTCCAAGGGACTCCCTCCTTCAGTGTTACATAAAACGGAATCGTAGCAACCAAACATATTATCTATACCTTGGCTTGAATCAAGGTTTGCTGCTTTTATTTATTTATGTTTTTTTTGTGGCCTTGGGGAAGGGCTGGGGTCGGTGCTGTGAGCTTTACTTGTGTTTCTCTGTGCTGTTGTCTGGATTTTGCTTGTATTTGTTGATTGAATGAAAAATATTGATGGATATATCATGTAATTAGGTTCATCGAAAGTTAGTGCCTTAACTATTTGATAATTGTGGTGGGTACCTGTTTCTCTTTGGGTATCCTTTCTTAGCTGTAAATGTGAAACTGTTTTCCTTTGTGTATTTTCTTGGCAGCTTCTAATGATGATGGAAAGTTCCTTCTTGCTGCAAGGAAGTGCCGCCGCACTACCTGCACTGATTATATCATCTCATTAAATGTCAATGATGTGTCAAAAGGAAGCAGTACCTACATCGGAAAATTGAGGTATTGTCAGCTGGATTATGATTTGACTGATACATTACTCATTTTGGAAATCTAACCTTACCTTGATATGCTTTAACAGATCAAACTTTTTGGGGACCAAATTCACCATCTATGACGTACAGCCTCCAAATGCTGGAGCCAAAGTTACTAAAAGTTGCTCAACCAGGCTAATAAATGTGAAAAAAGTTTCTCCTCGTGTCCCAGCTGGCAACTATCCTGTAGGCCACATCTCATATGAGTTGAATGCCCTGGGTACCAGGTAAGGTGTATGGTGAAAGCTGCCCTTTTATGTATCTCTTTGTATCTGGGGGTGGTCATTATTCAGCAACTCACTTGTTTGGAATTAACATTTTCTGGAAAACAGAGGTCCAAGGAGAATGCAGTGCATCATGGATGCCATTCCTGCTTCTTCTATTGAGCCTGGAGGTGTTGCTCCCACACAGACTGAATTCCTACACGGTAATCTGGATGCCTTTCCATCACTGCCGTTCTTTAGATCAAAATCAACCTGTGCAGAGAATTTCCAATCCAGATCTTTGTCTGGCCAGAAAGATGGAATGCTGGTGTTGAGGAATAAGGCACCCAGGTGGCATGAACAACTCCAGTGCTGGTGTCTGAACTTCTACGGACGAGTGACAGTTGCTTCAGTCAAAAATTTTCAGCTGGTTGCATCTCCAGAGAATGGTGTTGCTGGGCAGGAACATGAGAATGTCATTCTCCAGTTCGGAAAAGTGGGGAAGGATGTATTCACTATGGATTATCAGTATCCAATCTCAGCTTTTCAAGCATTTGCCATATGCCTTAGTAGCTTTGACACTAAGATTGCTTGTGAGTGATTTCAAACAGGTATGAGTCTAACATAACTCTTGGACTTTTGACAATTGAATCTGAATATAAGCGTAATTTTTTTTCCTGATTGGGACAAATAGTTAAACCTGTTTTCCTATTTGTTGGTATACCAAATTCCAACTTTGCTTTAATTTTGTTTTGTAGTTTGTTGGTTTAATCCATGTTCTGGGGTTTCCTTCTGTGCTGGAATTCTAGATTGTGATTTAAACATCCAGATATTAGATGTGATGCCATTTATAGAATCTATCCTGTAATTATACAAAAAAAAAATCTGACCTGTGACTTGGTCTACTGTAGAAGTATCTTGCCAATCCTGCCACGAGGCACTTTCAATTAGCATAGTAATTGTAAGTTCGTAATCCTGCATTTGCTTGTGGATCTTGAAATAGTTGAAGCTCCTGGTTTTCAACTGCAGGTATTGCCTGATGCAAAATAGTTGGTTTGCAAGGTAATAGTCATGCTATGGACTTGGAATGATCTGCGACAAAGTTTCTAGGTACTTCAGTGCTTTCTGTTTTCTATATGAGCAGTTAGGATTTAACTTTTTAGTTCGTTGCTGTACATGTAATTGTTTGTGTTAAGAGCGAGACATGACCGCTATACGTTGGTTGCATGCTTTGCTAACATGCTCGTCTCTTTGATCATTGATTGTAGTGGTTTCTTGAATTTGTTTATGGATTCCCTGTTGGACACTTTTTTCCATTTTAGATGTCTACTTCCTCAATTTTCGAATTGTGTCTCTAATGTTAATAAAAAAATTCTTTTAACAGGTTGACATAATTGTTTATATTTTTACTTTTCAAGTTCTGGTTGAATCCTTTGCCTGTCCTCAAGCCAAATAGTTGCTTTAACTCAACCTCCTGAAGCTCGGGACTTTTTTCTTGATCGAAGGCAAACAAATTCTTTTTTTTTTTCTTGATTATTTTTAGATGTTTTAATTTTAAATATAATACGGTGATACAATACAAAAATTATAAAAAAAAAAATCGATGCAATTTAAAATTTTAATAAAAATTATATATGAATTTGATAAAAATAAAAAATAAATGTTTCCTATTGCGTGTATCAAATGAATTTGATACAATAATTTTTTGTAATTTATACATACAAACACGTTATATATACAAGAATTATGGGATTTGATTATTTTTACTTTGACATCCATCCTACGCGTCTTTAAGCTTTGGTTTGGCTCCTCAGACATTCAGCTTGTGAAATTCCTTTACATGTTAGCAAAGGGAATTCTCATTGATGTTGCATACCAAGATGGATAAAACAGGGAAAACAAATAAAGAGGTAAGTTTTTTCTTTGGTACACTCCAATCAACAATACTAGTTTGAAACACCCCCCCCCCCCAAAAAAAAAAAAAAAAAAAAAGATGAACTTTCCCAGTTGAAGTAATCATCCCAATTAATCAGCTGATAACATTTATTAATACTCAAACCAGTTTTCATAATAGATGACAATAGCGTTGGAAACAACAAGAAAACAAAGCGGACAGCAGTGATGAAATTGTAAACACTAGTAGACTGTAAAAATTATGGTAAGGAACAACTATGCTGCAGATGACCTCTATCTCTGTGCAACATACAGAATAGGATCAGAATGGGGGAGGCCCGCCAGGGCCGGGAGGACCATAGCCACGAGGTCCACCGAAGCATTCCTGTAGTAGCCAACAACAGCACAGACAGTAAAAGCTGCAATCGAAAACAATTAAGGTTAAGAAGTGAGTAAGATAAAAATCGAAGCGTAGTTAACTAGACATTGGAGGAGAATTGAGAAAAGATGATTGCTTACAAAGAAGATATCATGTTGCACAAGCCATCAGCAAATCCACCAAAGAACCCACCTCCAAATCCAGGGCCCCAGGGACCTCCAGGCCCCGGACCCCAGCCAGGTCCCCCTGGACCTCCTCCCCATCCCCCAGGTCCTCCTGGACCTCCGCCCCATCCACCTGGTCCTCCCCATCCACCGGGTCCTCCTGGACCTCCTCCCCATCCACCAGGTCCTCCTGGACCTCCCCCCCATCCGCCAGGTCCTCCAGGCCCTCCTCCCGGTCCACCAGGCCCTCCTCCCGGTCCACCAGGTCCCATTGCTAACTTTCTGGTCTAGTCTGTCTTCACCACTTCAACCACCAGCAAGACGTTGCCAGGAGATAGTTTCGGTCTCGAAATGCAGGTATCTAGAAAAATGAATTATCAGGGCCGATCCTCCTCTTTAAGTTTTGTAAGGATAAGTGTTTCGTAATGGTCTCTCACAGCACAGCAAGAAACCTACCGGTCTCTAATTACGTAAACTGCTATTCTTTCATTTGACTCTTTATCTGTCATTCAAAGCTACAATCAATTAATGTATATGTATATGTACAAATCACACTTGTAGTGGTTTTAACAAAGGTTTAACTTGTCAAACATAAAGAACCCATTGATTTAAATAATCCATAGCTATTTGCCAATTTCTTGTTGTTCTTCACACGTTTCTATGCTTTGCCAGTTGCCAGACAACGTTGTGGTTTGCCGCTAACCTATTAATTGAAGTTTGATTTGAGTTAAAAACACCTTCACTATTCACTGTACAAACTACAAAGAAAGCCGTGAAAATAATCAACCGTCGTCTTGGCTGCGAGTACATTTTAGAAGCTGTGGAAGATGGGGTTAGTTTTTGTTTTAGGCTTTTTTAGCTCACCCAATTTGCTTAATAAGGTTGGGCCTTTCCAAGGTTGACTGGTTTTTGAAGAGTATAGTTATTTCGGAATATCAACCATTTCAGGCCCATTAGCACTTTTATTTTTATTGGGATTTATGAATAGTGAGGATTTGATATTTGATATAAAAGAAATCTTCAACTGGTCGGTAGAGTACTGAATTTTTAGTGTCTCGAATTTTGGCAATTTTACATACCAAAAAAATAAAAACTAATTTTTTCCCTTATATCTGTATCGTGATAAATTGGTAGAATTGAATTTTTTGGAAGGTACCCTTGCTTCATATTAATTTCACATAGAAGGCAATTAAAAAAACCATGCTTGGCCTTCAGGCCCTTCACCGATAATAATGTGATAAGATTTTATGGGGCATGGGTTTTAGCATGATCTACCAATGGCACATGGCACTGATCGTAGGGCCAACCATCCACGCAGGCAGCCGACCCTACTCAAACTAATGCACCTGCTACCATTTTCTTTTCTTTTCTAAAGAAAAAGTACAACCATTAGCTAAAGCCCATATGGCAACACCAATTTGCCAGTGGAGCTTCTGATACGAGTTTTGATCAGTTTCAACCTGCAAAACAGGGACATTCCTGTTCTCTAATTCTAAAATGTTTCTAGTATTGTATTTAAAATTATCCTGTACAGTAACAGTACTGTACAACTCGTACGCAGTTAAAACCAATCCTGGAAATCCCACTCCCCAAAAAAACTCCTGGACTGGTTGGTTGCCCTGAACACACAGAGACACCCAACCATTTTCAATAATCTTTCTTTTGCAGCGCGTTTGGCCTGGCCTGCAAGTTTAGAAACTCTACAGATCAAAGAAAATGATAAGAGTAATACCACTACTATTTTAAGCAGAAAATTTTTGCTGTTTTAATTGCTTGGAAAAAGATAAATGCGAGTATGTAGAAGTTTCAACGCTTTTGATAGCTGACACCATGAAGCTATCTGATGCCAGTCTATGGGGGCATCAAAGCTCTCCCATCTCATTTCCTCATCAGAACCAATGCCCAAGCCAAGGGACCCGACTGCTTAAACTGGGTTCTTCTCAATGATTTACGCTAGCTCTACCAAATACCAATCTACGAAATAAACAGGTAGTTGTAATAGTAAAGACTAAATGGGGCTGTTTCTCGGACATCAATATCAGATTGTTGTAAATGGGAAATAAAGAAACCATCAAATCAGTGGCGGGAAAAAAGGAGAGCCGTTGGCTTAGTATTGGGATAGATTAATCCTTGGATGAGTGGTCCAACTTAGGGGCTCCCATTTATGGCCAAAAGTAGCTTAATCAATGAAAAATAACGATCGGATTGCAAGAAGGGGGATGGTTTGAATGGGAGGTTCCACAATCAGGACCACTAAAAATAAGCCATTAATTGAATTGATAACACAAAGCTAACATTTGGTGTGAGGGTTTACCAACTGATGGTCCCATCGTCCATGAACTTTACCTTTATGGCAATTGATGCTAACCATTAACAATATTTGCACCCCACGTTAGCTGGGCGAAGATTTATGAGCATTTTATGGGAAAAATCTAGTTCTTTTAATTCATGAAATCGAATGTCCTTGAGGAAGTTGGCAATGTATTATGTGTCAGTTCCCAAAATAATTTCTACCAAGATTAAAATAATCTTTATCTTTCAAGATTAAAATAGAAATTTCTAAATCTTAGAATGAATTTCTACCAAAACTCACAAAAAACTAAAAAAACCTCACTCTTAGACTTGTTTGAGGATTGGACTATCTGTTTAAATTTGAAAATTTGTTGAAGTTTTAAAAGAGTTTAAACAAAAAATTAAATACCGTTAAACAGTTTTGGACAAAATTTTTAAATTTATTTTAATTTTGGGTCTCACCTTGAACATAAAATTAAAACTCGAGTATGATTTAGTCCGATTCAAATAATATAAATATAATTAAATTATTATAATATATAAATATATATGTAAATTTTTATTTTAATATTTTATATATTTTTTTAAAAAGTAATTTTTATTTTTTTATTATATAAATTGAAATTAATGGGTAGGTTTGAATTTTTTTTTTTAATATGAGCTGAGCTTGGAAAAAAATTTTAAGTTCAAAATATCAAGTCGGATTTGAATAAATATATAAATTATTAATATCAAATATAAACTCACCCTTAATCCCCAAATAATCTTTAGATTTTACAAAAAAATTGCAAACTTAAAATACTTATCAAAAGTTAGGTGATTGCTAATTTTGTGCAAAAAGACACAAATGAAGAATGAATAAAGATTGGGTTTACATAGAAAATTTTGTACAATGTACATAGAAAATTTTCATTCTCAAAATCAATACAGTTAAAATTATATTAAATTCAAGAAAAATAAATTTTCTTTAAATATAAATTAGATTTATATTTAAATTTAAATAAACAACATTAATAAAACAAAATTTTGTTTGAGAAATACACAAATATCCTAAGCAGATTTAATTTGAAAAAATACACTTAAAATTTTGGTCAGAACAATCAATTTAAAGCTAACAATATATAATATTGATTTTTCTTTTATTTTAATAAATAAAAATATTTTTGAGTGAAAATTGCTACTTCCCTAAATACAATTCTTTTCCAGCTTGGATGATTATAACAGTGGTTGTCAAAAAAACATATGCTTCAATTAACGTCCAATCATATAGTATCTGAGATTAAGACACATGACAATGATTACTGACCGTCAAATAAGACAATACTCACAGAATTTTTCAGAAATTTTTGACTGCCTGTCAATTTATTTAATTTTATTTTTTTCTTAATCTTTGCCGGTTGTTTAATCAAATTGAAATTGCCTCAACCTACGCTGAACCTAAGTTTGTCATCTAGCAGACAAAACTTGTAAAGAACTTTCGTAAAGTCTGTCACCAGAACATGTGCTGCTACTTTTTTGGACTAAAATATATCAACATAATGATTGATTCTACATTTATTGGCCACAATTAATTATGTC